TTCTTTCTTTCTTTCTTTCTTTCTTCCTTCCTTCCTTCCTTCCTTCCTTCCTTCCTTCCTTCCTTCCTTCCTTCCTTCTTTCTTTCTTTCTTTCTTTCTTTCTTTCTTTCTTTCTTTCTTTCTTTCTTTCTCTCTCTCTCTCTTTCTTTCTTTCTCTCCTTTCTTCCTTTCTTCCTTTCTTGTCCCTCTTCCTCACATAAAATATGAATGCTGTCTACTTTCCGCATCTGTCAGTTCAGCAGATGGTATATCGATACCCTATAGATGGGAAGGGACTCCTGTTGAGCCAGACATTTTACGGGACATTTTCTGTGATGATCTTTTATAAATAATCATGACTTTAGGTCTCTAAATCCAAGGGGAAAGAAAAAGAATGACATCTACAAAGGGATTTTACAAATTGAATTTTCCATCTTCTTTATAAAAGTACACATTTCATAATATCTGTTCTACATTTTGGATTTTATTTACTCTTTCATGTTCTTACACTAGAGAGACAATCTGATGTTTACACATGTGAGTCTGATTAATTTCACTTATGAGTGTGGTCTCTAGTTGCATCCTTTACCTACAAAAGCCCCAGTATGAAAGGGAGAGAAATTGCTCAAAGGAAGGGACAACTGGAGTAAGGGAAAGGAGAAAAAGAAAGAAGGAAGGAAGGGGGAATATATAAATATATATATACATACATACATACACATTTTATTGAAAGGAACAGTTAATGCTTAATTTTTTTGACCAATTTTGCAGGCTTATACCTGGTAATCTGAACAACTAATTTGAAGACAACAATACGCAATATAACACCCACTGGCGAATTCCTAACATCTTGTCTAGTGAAACTCTGTATCATTTCTAATGTTATATTTTATTTTTTATTCTATTTAATTGTTTGATCAATCATGCATTCTTACATCTGGTAATCTGAGTAACTTCACTGAAGATAAAAATATGTAATACAAACCACGACTGTTCTGAAACCCTGTATCATTTTTATTGTTTTTGTTTTGTTCTATTTTTGTCTATGTTGTTGGCATTTTGCTATTGTTGTTTTTTATTATTCTCTTTCAAATAAAAAATAAAAAAGTGAAAGTACACATTCAGTTTGTATGATGTAGCTATTTTCTTACAGTTCAATTCATTCTTCTTTTCCCCATTTGATTTGTTGATACAACTTACTGTTCTTCTCAGCTATAGATTCATTTTCAACATAACACAAGTTGCTCTATTCTTTCTGCTTTCAAGAAATCCCACAATATATGTCGTCATCAAGCACATTTTCATTCCACAGGCCTTTATGGAGCCCTGTGTGGGCTAACGGAAACCATAATGCAAATACTAAATGCTTCAAAGCATAACATCTTCTGTGGAGAAAGCTGGTTCTAAAACAAGCACCAAAAGAAAAAGAAAGAAAGAAAAAGAGAAAAGGAAATATGTTACATTTTAAAGAACTGCTGTGTTCATGCCTAGAAGCTCTTATCAGCCTTTTATCCTGTGTTGGATTTGTGTAGGGGCTTATTTGGCAATGCTCTAGTTTTGTAGGATTTGGGATATGTCTAAAAGGTTGCCAGTCGGTGTTTTTTTATGCTTATAGAGAAAATTCACTGCCCATTACATAGGATGCCTTGATTTCCACAAAGTAAGGATTTATGGAGTTATAAACACACAAGAATACCCAAAAGAGAACATTTTCATTATGTTTAAAAATACTACTGATTACAATCACTTTTAAGTGCTGAGGAAAAAGCTGTCATCGACTTTCACAGAACTTATGTTCTAAGGAGACAAATAGAAAGCAGAGAAGCACATGGGATGAGGTGTGATGCGGGAGGCAGTGGGCTGGGGAGCTGCAGAGTGCTTGCCTGATAAATGTCACTGCGGCCAAGACCTGAGTGACGAGGGGGAAGGACGACACATGAAGATACACATGGATCCCATCCTGGGAAGAGAGTACACCAGGTGTAAAGATTCTAAGTCAGAGCAGGTGGATGTTTCAGAGGAACAAAATGCAGATCAACATAGCTAAGGAACAGGAAGAAAGTCTGAATGGAGGGTCACAGGAGAGGGCAAAAATTAGGTAATGTAGACTTCCTTGTGCCTTCATAACAATTTCAGATGTTTGTAGGTCTGATGAGAAATTATTAGAAAATTTTAACCGGGGCAGAGACAAGACATTTTATTTGTTATAGAAGATGACACAGGCTGTTGTGAGGTAAATGGATTTTAGGAGTACAGATGTGGAAAGAGCAGCTTGGTGTGCTGATAGTGTTTAAAAACTTGCTTCCTGAAGGGGAGAAAATGCACCGATTTCTTGCTAATTTCCATGGTGCAAATACTTTCACTGGTGGCCGAATTCAGCTATCAACAGGATATAGTATGATTTAAAAAAAACCTCCTGGAAACACGATAATTTGTTCTGAGGAGCTGATGTAGGCTGATGACACACACCACTGACTAGGAAGCTAATTAGAGCCCGACCCGGCGTGGTCACGCTGGAAATGGAAGGAAGTGGACGGACACAGGATATACTTGGGAAGTAACAGCCACAGAAATCACGACTGGGCTGAAGTGAAGGCTGAACAGGAGGAAAAGAAAGGAATAAATTTGATTAGCACAATACATGTGGGGCTGATTCATGCTGAAGAGGAAAATGTTGAAGGAGGTGCAGGTTTGGGGAGGGTTTGGAGCAAAGATTAGTTTAGTGCTGTATGGATCAAATCATTGGAAAGCAAATCAAAATATAAAATTAGATATTTAGAACCAAAAATCTGGAGCTCAAGGGAAAGGTTAGGGAGAGATATGTAAATTTATTTATTTATTTTTAATTTTAAAAAGAAAAGAAGGAAAACATTAACAAACACACATACATTTACAAAAGAACGCAAGAACAATACAAGCAATCCTGAAATTCAGACAAGGTGACAGGAAATTAACAATGGTTGTTGTATTGCATATTGATTTCTTCAAAGTGGTTACTCAGGAAAACAAATATAGATGTGTAAGACTGATCAAATAATCATTAACTGTTCCTTTCAGTACGGTGATAGAAGTCAGTAGTACAACTATGTTAGCTATCCTGTATGTAAATGTAAGTCATCATCATAAATCCTTTTAAAAACAAGTCTTTTTTTAAGCACAAATTGGAAAGCCAATTTTTAATTTTAACATTCTAGCAGATAATGTAAACTTATATGCAGTATCTTAACTAATTCCACTGAATTTTAGCTTAGTTTTCTAACTCCACCGAACTTTTAGCAATTAGCTGTCACTGTGCAAGGTGACATTCAATTCAGGGACCCTGTCTTGCCTGGAGTAGCCTCTGGTTTTCTGGCATCTTATGTAAGTAGGTCATCCTGGGTGAAAGGCATTCAGATTTTGGTGCTGTCATTCAGGATGGCGTACAATAGTACACCTTTATTTCTGTCCTGCTCTGTCCAGGTTGTTAATATGTGCTTCATCCATCATTTGTATTATTAGGTTTATTTAATCTTCTGAGCTCCTCTAAGATTCTTAAGTTAACTTGTGTATAGATCACTGTTGCTTTCCCCCACAGGGAGACTAAAAACGTCTCTGTAGAATTCTCTCAAGTCCCTTGTTACTTGAGCTACTTGCTAGAGTTGTAGAAGTCATTTTGTTCCTGTAGGAATCTCTCCGACCCTTCCTAAATTTCTGTTGCATAAGCACCGGTCCAGGCATTTCTACTCTGGATCCATTAAGCCTGTTTGAATCTATTAAATGAGTAAAAATTAAGACTCTTGGTTTTCTGGGTTCACAGGTTTCTTAAGAATTTCTGATATCTGCCCACTCTATGTTGATAAAATCTCCACTCAGGGGATACAAAATGTCTTCTGTGTTTACCACAGACTGATTGCCTGTGGGCCAGATCATCCCACAGCCACTTTGTCTCGCTTTCATAGTGTTTTCCCAAAAGTCAATCGAGTGTCATTTAAAAATGATAAGACTTCAGATAGAAGTTCAAAACTGTGGCTTATTTTGCACTATCCAGTGTTTTAGGATGGAGAAGTCTTCGTGCTCGCGCGGTACTAATTGCAGACACAAGCAGTGGCTGTTATCTTTCGCGGGTGCTCACTGCCTAGGTGTTCATAGTAGCTTCGGCATCGATGGCCTCGGACACTGAAGAGAGGTGTCACTTGCCATCCGTTACCTGCGTTCCTTTCTTTTCCTTCTTTTCTTTTTCTGCTTCAGTCATTTCCTTTAGCTGTTTGAACTGTGTAGGGATCTGAGTTTGTGACTTTGCTCAGTCTTGACTAGCAGATTAACGGTTAATCAAAGGTGCTCTCCACGATATATAATGCCTATAATTTCATTTTCACATAAGTGCCAATTATTTACTCAGATCCTCTCAGGTATTGTTACAAAAAGGTTTTAAAATTTTTATTAGTGTATTCTTGCAGTACATAATGATTACATTTTTCGTGGGAGTTGGCCATGTGCATATTTTAATTATTTTTGTGTCCACTTCCTCCATCTCTTGGTTCTGTTCTCATCTGCAATAGACCTTCTTCCCTACTTCCCATTATCTATCTATCATCTATCTATCTATTGTCTATCTATCATCTATCATCTATTTATCATTTTGTTCTTTACTGTATGTATACTTTGGATTTCTCATATGTGATGTTTAACCTACTATATCTGATGCTTAATTTAATGTTATGGCCTTAAAGTGCATCTCTTTCACTACAAGTGACTCAAATTTGTCCTTCCTTCCAGCAGAGTAGTACTCCGCTGTGCATAAATGCCACACTTGCATTTTCATTCGTCTATTGGTGGCATCTAGGCTGCTGCCAAGATTTAGCTTTTCTGAATTGTGCTGCTGTAGACACAGGTGTGCATGGATCTCTGTCATATGATGTCTCTAACATTTTGGGGAAGATATTTAGAAGGGAAATAGCTGGGTTGAATGGTAAAACGTATAACCTTAGCCAATAATCACTGAATGTAATACATTATGAAGTTGGAACATAGGGGGGAGAGGAAAAGAAATATACAAGTTATTTTAAGGGAGCATTTAATATAAATAATTGTTAGTTAGATATTAGAAAGCCCTATATAGAGAGAAAGAGCAGTACTGTATCATGAAGTGAGTCACTGCAGGAAGTAGTTAACTGCTCGTGTAATTGCTCTTTAATTCATTTACTTACTTTTTCTCTTGTCTGAAAGTATTAAATAATTACTATAAATGACATTTTAAAAAACAATTCTCTCTTCCACACTTGTCCACAATTTTGGGCTTTACATAAACAAAAGTAATACCAGCATGCAACACACTGCAGTATTCTGAGAACATTTGTGAGGCTAAAGATACTATGTTTGCATTTATGAAAACAGAGCCACAATCTTCAACAAAGTTTGTAAAAACCATATTTACATAACTAAATACAGCAGGGAACCTCATTAAATGGCGTGAGAGGGAATCAGAGCTGAAAGTCTGCATTTGCCACTTCCCTAACCAGGAATTAGTAAAACTCCAGTTATAAGAGGAGAAAGCATTGTTTGCCAACTCTAACCGGTTTTCATGACTAAAGAGATTGTCTTTTTCTTTTCTCTGGGATTTAGAAAGGAGAGTGAAAGAAGTAAATGGAGAAAAAGCATAAAATTTAGTCACTTATTTTATTTTTGTCCCATATCTTGAGTTTAATTATTATTACTTTCAGAATGAAAGTACAATAGATGTCAATTTCAGACTGTATAAATAAATTTGCAAGAATTCTTTCTCGTTTTCTCTCAATGTTTCTCTCAATAAGTCAGCTAATTTTCTCCTTAGAGCCCCCATTTCAGTAGGCACGGGGACCTAGTCTCAGTGTGGGCTCCTCGGTCAGTTTCCCAGGATGCTGCCTGGGTTGAGAAGCGGCGGAGGGTGCCATACCTGCCCTCTGAGCATCCACCCACAGACGCTCAGCGCGTCCCTCGCCCTTCTGCCCTCGTCCATCCATCACGCAGGCCGCTGCCGCTTCTCCGTTTCCGCCGCCATACATGCTCTCCTTCCTCTTGGAGCTTTCCTGCTCATTTAGGGAAGGAGAAATTTATAACTGTGATAAGTACTGTGATTTTTAAAAAGTGTTATGAAAAAACGTAATAGAAAGTTCTAGACAAGTTGAGGGGATAAAGTCATGCGTCAAAAAATGACCAGTGAGCTGAACTCTGAGACTAAATATTGTATTAATTTTTAAAAAACTAATTATATGGACTGGAGATTAATGATGGAAAAGCAAGTTATGAACAGAGGAAAGAACATGTTCAAAGGTAGGTGAAAAGAAGCCAATCTGAGACGCTACAGGAGGGTCACCATACCTTGAGCATAAGAAGAAAGGTAGAATATTCCAAAGAGGGTTTCAGACAGGACTTGGGCACTGCAGTGATTTTAGTTTTTATCCTAAAAATCAACAGAATTTGAATTGTTTTAACTGTGTGGTGTATGTTGTCTACAAAACGTGTTTAAATTTGTTTTGAAAAATGCCTATATGGGGTGTAGAAAGTATACTGGTAGTGATAAATTATGCATTTGAAGAAACAAGGATGGTCATGTTATATGCTATGATAACTTGAGCTAGCAAACAAACATCAAGAGAAGTAGCAGCTATTGCTGAAGTCATTTGACAACCTGGTGACGTAAATTACACTCGGGGGTTGAAGACGTGCAGAATCAACATAATCCATTTGCTGTCTTACAGATCAGGGTAGACAAAATAGCCTGTCATTTTATCGGATTAAATTTAAGGATTAAAAACCACATACTTAGGGCCGGGGATGTAGCTCAGCATTGCAGCACCTGCCTGGCAAGTGTGAGGCCCCGAGTTCGATTCCCTGTACCAAAAAAGAAAATAGTAAAAAAAAAAACCAAAACAATGCACATATTTATTTTTGACTATGTGGATTTGAATTGACAATTCATTTTGAGGCAGTCAGGTTTGAGTGTGAAGAAGGCAGATGGTACCCAGCACGGTGACACATGCCTGTAATCCCAGCATTTTGGAGGCTGAACCAGGAGAATCTTGAGTTCAGGGCAATCCTGGCTACCTAATTAGACCATATTACAAACAAAGAAGCAAACAAAACAAACAAAGAGGAAACAAGGTGTCTTGGTTACCTTTTTCTCGCAGCTGGGACAAAATACCTGATGCCCAAAATTAAGGAAGGAAAGGTTTATTTCGCTTACAGTTCATGGAGGTTTCAATCCGTACTTGGCAGATTATAAGGCAGAGCGGCACATGGCAAAGAGCTGCAGCTCAGGATGGCAGCACACAGCTAAGCAACAACCACATACCAGGGTGGAATGGAGGAGGAAAGTCCCAAGCACTCTTTTCCTCTCCCTTACATATGCAAACTATTCACTCCGGGGCAGGTGCAGCTCTCACACCCATATTCAAATTGTAATAGCCTGCCCCTCAAGCCTGGCCGCTTGAGGCTTTGGGGGGACACACAGATTCAAACCATAACACAAGGTTATGGAACTCTTGAAGTCATGAGGAAAGCTCTTTTCAGCATTACTCGATTTAGCCAAGGTAAATGAGACTGCTTGAATGATCAGTGTTACTTTTGCCATGGATATATGCATGTATTTCTAAGTTATATGTATAGCTTGGGTCAATGTTATCCAAGAGTCTAGGTTTTAAAGATGTGGACACCAGCCCGTGCCACCATTAGGAGATGGAGTCCAGAAAAAGGGAATTAGAGATTGGGTGTGTGCCCTCCCAGGGCGCCCTGGGAAACCTCGTCTCTTCCTGTCTACCCCTTTGCTTTCAGGTGCCAAGAAATGAGCAGTCTCTTTGACCCTCACCTTCTTGACATCACAGGCCCAAGGTAACAAGGCCAAGTGACCATGGTTGGAAGCTTTGAAACCATGAGTCTAAATAAGCTTATCCTTTGTATAAATTGTCTTTCTCAGGTTCTTTCTTCCAGTGGCAGAAAGATGACTAAAACAATGTCTGTGCAGGACAAAATTAAGTGAAAAATGGAGATAGCTTAAATTAATAAAACCAAGATACAATGGGGCAGAAATTTGAAAAGATTTAATGTCAGTATCCTAATTAAATCACTGACTGTTTTCATTTAAGAAATTCTGACTGATGTACATCTGGGTAATTTAATTTTTATCATGGATGCATTTATCAGTGATTTACTGTATGGATAGACAGGAAAATCCTCAGGGAAAATAAATAACTCACCATAAAAAGCCTCTGTGATTAAGGACAAAGTTAAAGTTTAAAGTTTACTTATGAGGTCGCTATTAGCACTTCCCAAGCTTTATGTTAGAAAGCAAGCTCCTCAAGGACGAGGAGGCTTTTCTACCTTTCCTGTCTAATTCCTGGGGATTTATGCATAAATCTGCCTCATACAAAAACATATAAATCATATTATGTTCACTGATCCTTCTGCATAGTGTTTTTCTCTCTTTAGGTGAGCTCTTACCCTCCAAAATAGGATTTCCAAAGAGACAGAACTGGAACTTCCTGTCCTACTAATCCCTGTTGCCAAGCAACAAGAACCTGTCAGCTCTCCTGGTAACGTTCAGCAACTAACCCTTCAAATGCTTAAACCAAACAATAAAAAATCCACTTCTAGGAAAGCACCTAAATCCACATGTTCTCTGGGGAACCATGGAGAAGTATTATACCTACATAAAATATTTAACTTACATTAAACATTGTTCAGTCATACATAAAGTTTCTCACAAAATGAAATAAATCATTGTTATCCAATTATGTATTCACTGATAAGCACATATTAAAGAAAGGAAAAATATTTTATGAAATTAAAAATCAAGATATAGTAAAATCTATTTTTTGTATATGATTTCAATTTTTGAAGATCATGCAAGTCATTATCATTTATTACCTTTTGTTAATTTCTGATACTGTGGTAAAATTATTATTAGTTATTTTAAACAAAAGCAGTTCTTATGCAATGTCATACTTATTTAAATCTCATACATTTTATTAAAATAATTTGCTCTGAATTCTTATTGAAATTGAGCAAGAGAGATAAGCAATTTATAAAACAAGAATAAACTCAAACCCAAATTAATAGAAAGAAAGAAATACTAAAGATCAGAGGAAAACTTAATGAAATGGATACAAAACCAATCTATAGTTTTGACAAAATTAAAAATTGTTCTGTCTAGATAGATAAACATCTATAAGTATTTTGTTAGACTCAGAGAAAAAGAAATGACTGAGATAACTCAAAATCAGAGCTGGAAAGGGTCCATCAGAACTGATATCTCAGAGACAGCAAGGATCTAAGAGACTTATAAAGAACTGAAGACCAAGAAATTAGGAAAGTTAGAAGAAACTGATAGATTGCTGACCTTGGTCAAAGTTTTTTTTTTTTAACCTCAAAAGCACAAATCACAATAGCGAAAATACACAAATGTTATTACATGAAAACTAAAAGCTTCTGTGCAGCAAAAGAAATGATCAATAGCATGCGGTGGCAATTTGCAGAATAGGAGAACATATTTGCAAAATATACGTCAAATGGTTAATACCCACAATATACAAGGAACCAAATAACTCTATAGCAAAATAATAAGTAATCCAAATATTGTTAGAAATTTGAAAATAGGCAAAATAGTGTGCAGGCAATTCTCAAAAGAAGAGCAATAAATGACCAACAGGTACTTTAAATAGTACAAATCCAAACCACAGTTGGAAAAATAATACCATACTAACACTAAGGAAAAGCAAAGTACAATGGCTACATTAAAAATCAGATAAAATGGATACCAGAGTAAAGAACATTTTCAGCAATGTAAAGCATCATGGTATAATGATAAAGGAATATATTCATCAAGAAAATATAATAATATTAAGTGGTTTTGTACCTGTAACTAAAGCTTCATATCATATGAGACCAATTAAAATTATAAGGGATGCAGGAAAATCTTTAGTACTGACAGAATAGACAAAACAACCTTTGAGGATATTGAAGATATGATCAACACAGTGTTAAGTGCATGTAGAATGTGCACTATATGCGTCACACCTAAGCCATAAAAACAGTCTCAATAAATTTGAATGGATTCAAGTCATACAGCGCATCTTCTTTCATCATAATGAAGTTAATTTTTTAATGAATATCAAAGATATCTGGAAAAATTCTCAAATATTTCAAACTAGATAATACACTTTTAAATAACTCATAGGCCAAAGAATAAATCAGAGACAAGCTGAAAAAGAAATTTGAACTGAATAAAAATAAACCACAAACATACAAAAAGTTGTAGATGCATCTCAAGGAAATACCTATAGGTGAAATGAATAAACAAGGTGTGAAACTGCCTTAAAATGAAATTTGAGTCAAAGGTAAATAGGAAGAAGTATTAATATGCACAACATAGGTCAATCTCAAAACAATTTATAGTATTAGCCAGACAAAAATGAGAAGATATTAACAATGGTTGTTATCTTCAAAGTGGTTGCACAGATAACAAGATATAAGCATGTAAGATCGATCATTTGGTTTTGTTATTTAGGTTTTTTTTCTTTTCTCTTTAAAATGAAAAACAAAATTTATATGTATATACAAGGATAACCAGGATAGGTGTATTGCTGATGTCTGTGGTTTATTGAAAGGAACAGTTAATGCCAAAAATTTTCTTTTTTCTTGACCAATTTTGCATGCTTGCATCTGGGAATCAGAACGACTGATTTGAAGACAACAGTATGTAGTAGAAGAACTGCATCCTACCATCTTGTATGGTGAAGCTCTGTATCATTTCCAAATTTTTAAAATTACTTGTTACTGTCTTTGATTGTTTGATCAATCTTACATTCTTACATCTGGTGGACTGAGCAACTTCGTTGAAGATAACAGTATGTAGTGTAGCAACCGTTGTTAATTCCTATCATTGTGTTTTGAGGTCAGGTATCGTTTTTTGGTTTTGTCTTCATTGTCGTTGTTTTGTTAGCTTTTTCTCTTTAAAATAAAAAAATAAACATAATACATACTAGAGAAAAATGAGAACAGATTTTAA